TGCCAGTCTATTTTACTCTACAGGTAGTCCTCGAACCTGTCCATTATGGTTATTAAGTTGTGGTGGTCGTTAAGCAAAACGCCCCTGTGATCACATGTTGGGAAACTGCTGGCCAAGCAAGGAGGAGGGATCAAGTGAGGAATTAGCCTTCAGTCATTGCGCAGCCACAAGAGACTTAGGGCTGACTTTCTCAAAGTTCCATGGGACTTTTATCTGTTTGTTCTCAAGAGAAGGCAAGCAGTCTGGGGAGAATATAATAATATATAATATAATATAATAAAGTATTTAGCTTGAGCCCTTATACAAGTGGACCTGGTTGCTTGCATCTGATATCACCTTGCTTAACAACTGTAAACCCTGCTCTTCCATTGCAGTTGTTAATAAGGTGACCAATCGTCCTCCTTTAGGGAGGACAGTCCTTCTTTTGTAAGTTCTGTCCTCTGTCGAAAAGTGTCCTCCTACATGTCTTCCTTTTCGATATTTGAAGACTAATCTGTAAATCTCCGTATTCAATCGATGCCGATCCAATCTGTTGCGTGTGATGTGACGTATTTGTATTTGACATGACGATTCGTCAAGGCTCGGTACAGTGCGGCGAGACACAATTATGAGACGCATGCGCTCCGCGCAGGAGAATTGTTTTGAGAGAGTGCACCGCGCACGAGAGTGTGCCGCACGCAAGTGGCTTTGTTTACTTCTTACCGAAACACGACACGGCACACACGCACGCATTAGACTCACTTTTTTTTCTTCAATTTATTTGTGTCCCCCTTCTCATTGTAAAAAAGTTGGTCATCTTATTATTAAGTGACTGCATGGATTGTTAAGCAGAGGAAGATAACCTCAGGGAGTGGGGGAGGCCCTCAGAGGCCAGGCACAGACCCAGGGCTACACTTCAGCTTCTCCCCTGCTTCCATGTGGCCTGTCCCAGTCTTTCCAGGGCCTTCCGCACTCCTGAGGTACTTTGTACTCTGCTTCCTGCCCCGCTGGGTCCCACACACGTGGGCCTATCTCCCATCTTGCTGGCTCCCCACAGCTCTTCTGCCTGTTCCCCACCCTGCTGGGTCCCCCATATGGGAGGGCCGGGGCAAGATCAGGAAGGAAGAACCAGCCGACCCGCCCTGCGGCCTCCATACAGTACAGAAAATTAAATTTAAATCTATATTCAGTCTTGACATTCTGAGAGATGTTCCAGCTGATGCTGTTTCTAATTTTTTCTTACTAGAGGGTGGTGAGACCGTATAGGCTATTGCGAGATCTCAGGAGAAAAGGCTTGATAGAGTAGTAATAAAAATGGGATTGTGGCTCCAAGTAAGATTGCAATTACTTTATTTTGCATAAGTCACAAGGCTCAACCTTTGCTTTGGCACCCTATTGTTTTAACCAGTAAGTCGCCAAAGTTTTTTTAAAAAAGTGCTTTATTTTAATGAAAAGCATTTTGTTAGCTAACTTGATCACATCCAATAGCACGAGATATTTGCTGGCCAAAAACAAAGGGGGGGGGGAGAAGTTACAGATGTCCCTTCTGGCATGGACTTCAGCTGTTGGATTGCATCCTTTTGCAGCTGAAGGCCAGAAAACTGCTAACCGATGCAATCCTCTCATATCATCGCAAACATTAGGGTGTGCGCAAACTGACAAAACACTGAAATTAATTAGGCTTGAATTCTTTATTTGCCGAAATGTGATCTCCTCTGGTCACGCAGAGGGATGTGTGCATTTCCTTCTGACTAGTGGAGGAAAAGTCAAAATCTATCTGATCGACTGGAAAGTTTTCATCACAATCCCTCGTGCAGAAAAATTGAGATGGCCCCGTTGGCTGCAGCAAGTAACTATTGCAATTTTCAGCCAGGCGAATGGGAGGGTGTTTATTACTGATCTGCGATCACTCGACTTAATAATAATAATAATAATAATAATAATAATAATGATAATGATAATGATAATGATAATGATAATGATAATGATAATGATAATGATAATGATAATGATAACAACAACAACAATAATAAAGTTGGAAGGGACCTTGGAGGTCATTGAGTCCAACCCCCTGCTCAGGCAGGAAACCCTACACCATTTCGGACAAATGGCTGTCCAGTTTCTTCTTAAAAACTTCCAGTGTCGGAGCATTCACCGCTTCTGGAGGCAGGTTGTTCCACTGGTTAATTGTTCTGTCAGGAAGTTTCTCCTCCGTTCCAGGTTGCTTCTCTCCTTGACTAGTTTCCATCCGTTGCTTCTTGTCTTGCCCTCAGGTGCTTTGGAGAATAGCTTGACTCCCTCTTCTTTGTGGCAGCCCCTGAGTTATTGGAATACTGCTATCATGTCACCCCTAGTCCTTCTTTTCATTAAACTAGACATACCCAATTCCAGCAACCGTTCCTTATATCTTTTAGCCTCCAGTCCCCTTGTTGAAATGCTTTAGACAATTTCAATTCTTCTAGTCCAACGCATGCTCAAGCAGGAGAACCTATACCAGGGGTAGGCAACCTTGGCTCTTTTATGATTCGTGGACTTCAACTCCCAGAATTCTGGGAGTTGAAGTCCACGAGTCATAAAAGAGCCAAGGTTGTCTACCTCTGACCTATACTATTCCAAATGGCTGTCCAATCTCTTCTTTTAAAAGCCTCCAGTGATGGAGCACCTACAACTTCTGAAAGCAAGCCATTCCACAGATTAATTTTTCTCACTGTCAGGAAATTTCTCCTTAGTTCTAGGTTGCTTCTCTCTTCAGTTAGTTTCCATCCATTGTTTCTTGTCCTGCCTTCAGGCGCTTTGGAGAATAGGTTGACCCCTTCCTCTTTGTGGCAACCTCTAAGATATTAGAACACTGCTACCATGTCACCCCTTAGTTCTTCTTTTCCTTAGGAGTAATAAACACTGATCTTTTCCTTAGGATCAAAGACACTGACCGTTACCACCCATGATGGTCAATTTAGGCTTCTCCATAATGCTTTTCAAGTTCAGACTAGGTCACCAGGCTTTGCTGTGTCTGTGCTACATTTAGCATTCCCTGCAAATACTAAGGAGGCTATTATTCAGTTCTGACATGTTTTTGGGCAATCATCCCTAAGTGAAACCAAAGCCCAGCATGCTCAAGATAGAGTTCTAATCTAGAGATTAGCTTTCAAACAAACATACTGTTGACACCATCTAACATATTTTAAGGTACATGCAGTCTAATGATATAGTCAGGCTGGCCCAAAGCTGCTTTTCAAAAGGCAACTGGACTTTCTTGGGATTTTTTTCCCCCTTGAAAACGTTGTATTTCTCATCCAAGAAGCTTCTTCAGATCTGATTGCATGGTGGGGAATCGAAGGATTTATATTCTTTGCAGTCATCTAGTCGTTAGCAATAGCAATAGCACTTAGACCAGTGGTTCTCAACCTTTTTAATGTCGCGACCCCAACCGGTCGTAAGTCGAGGACTAAACCGATCGTAAGTCGAGGACTAAACCGGTCGTAAGTCGAGGACTAACCTGATCGTAAGTCGAGGACTACCCAACTGGTCGAAAGTCGAGGACTTTCCCTGCCCGGGAGTGCCGCACATGCGTGGGTCCGCCCCCTGCGCTGGCCGAGGCGTAGCTGGCAAGCGGCAGAGACGGAGCAGGCCGACCACCAGCTGGCCCAGCCCAAGGGAGGTAAGAAAAGGGGGGAAAAATGGCAGACAGAAAAGGGGGAAAAAATGGCAGACAAAAAAAATGGCGGACAAAAAAATGGCGGACAGCCTTGCTTGGCGACCCCCATGAAATGGTCGATCGACCCCAAATGGGGTCCCGACCCACAGGTTGAGAACCACTGACTTAGACTTAGATACCGCTTCACAGGGCTTTACAGCCACTCTCTAAGCGGTTTATAGAGTCAGCCTGTTGCCCCCAACAATCTGGGTCCTCATTTTACTGACCTTAGAACAGGGGTGTCAAACTGCCGCACGTCACCGGGAAACCGTGCCCACCCCATTGCCAGCAATGGGGAAAAAGCTCTGATACGTTGTGTGACGTCACGTAACGTCGCAAGTGTGACATGTCTGCCTTAGAAGGATGGAAGGCTAAGTCAACTTTGAGCTAGTGAGAACTGAACTGCCAAATTGCTGGCAGCCAGCAGTCAGCAGAAGTAGCCTGTAGTATTGCATTCTAACCACTGTGCCACCATGGCTCTTTCCTTCCTTAATAATAATAATAATAGTAAAGTTGGAAGGGACCTTGGAGGTCATCTAGTCCAACCCCTTGCTCAGGCAGGAAACCCTATACCATTTCAGACAAATGGCTGTCCAGTCTCTTCTTAAAAACTTCCAGGGTTGGAGCATTCACCGCTTCTGGAGGCAGGTTGTTCCACTGGTAAATTGTTCTAACTGTCAGGAAGTTTCTCCTTAGTTCTAGGTTGCTTCTCTCCTTGATTAGCTTCCATCCGTTGCTTCTTGTCCTGCCTTCAGGCACCTTGGAAAATAGCTTGACACCCTCTTCTTTGTGGCAGCCCCTGAGATACTGGAACACTGCTATCATGTCCCCCCTCGTCCTTCTCTTCATTAAACCAGACATACCCAATTCCAGCAGCCGTTTCTTATATGTTTTAGCCTCCAGTCCCATAATCATCTTTGTTGCTCTTCTCTGTACTCTTTCTAGAGTCTCAACATCTTTTTTACATCGCGGTGACCAAAACTGGATGCAGTATTCCAAGTGTGGCCTTACCAAGGCATTGTAAAGTGGTATTGACACTTCCTTCCTTCCTTCCTTCCTTCCTTCCTTCCTTCCTTCCTTCCTTCCTTCCTTCCTTCCTTCCTTCCTCCCTCCCTCCCTCCCTCCCTCCCTCCCTCCCCACCCAATAGCACTTAGACTTATGTACCACTTCACAAGAAAGTCCAGTTGCCTTTTGAAAAGCACCTTTGGGACGATCGATGACCTGGATGATTGAGAATCTCCGTAGACAGATATAATTCAGGCAGCTCTGATCCATACTTTTCAGCTCGTAAAAGAGATCTAAGAGAAAATAAGCAAGCCATCTCACCTCATTGTCAGTGCCAACATCCAGAAGAACAGGGAGGCACTGCTGTGGGTGAACGCCGCCGCAAGCGGTATAGAGTGCGAGTTTTCCTACTGGAATGCCCATCCCGTAGCTTCCTAGATCGCCCAAGCCTAAAATTCTTTCTCCGTCGGTCACCACAATAGCCTGAAAAAGAAGAGAGGAATCTGCTATAGAAAGAAGCATTCAACGAAGCGTTGCTTTCCAAGCGGTTTGGAAGGACCAGCGATTGTTTCACAACCAATGGAGCTTTTCTCTGATAAGACTGAAACCCTGGTTTTGCAAAAACAAGTTGTGGATGACTGGCTCATGTGCACCATGTTCCCTATACAAATTCTGGATTGATTCAGTTACTTATCACAATTGGTTTATCATTGTTACTTTATTTTTTTTTAAAGCAAAAATATTTAATAATAAGAATGCAAGGCATCTGTTGATCTATAGCAGTGGTGGCGAACTTATGGCACAGGTGCCAGAGGCAGCACTCAGAGCCCTCTCTGTGGGCACGCATGCCATTGCCCCAGTCCTAGGCCTTCAGCTGGGTTTTATAAAACCTTTTCGCTTTAGGCCGCCGCTGTGTACAAAATAAAAAAAGGTTCAATCAATCAGTCAATTTCAACTTCTCGCGGGGGTGAAAAAAAGATCTTGCAAAGTTGGAATTGATTGATTGAACTTTTTAGTCCCACCCAATCTGCCGTTACCACCACAGCCACGCCCACCCAATGGGCCACACCCACCCAATGGGCCATGCCCACCCAATGGGCCACGCCCACCCGGCACTCAACGATGCATAAGTGTGTTTTGGGTTGCAGTTTGGGCACTCGGTCTCTAAAAGGTTTGCCATCACTGATCTATAGAAATGAATATTTATAGTTAAGGACTGAACGATGGAGCCCTTGATGCACTGATGATGTTACCTAGTTTGTGTAGTGAAACCTCTGCAAGGAAACAACCAAGCTCAGAGAGCACCAAGGACCCCTCGTTTCTACCCTGGGCCACTAATATTCTCCTTTATCGATATAATCACTAATGATCTAAGCTGGTGCATATAAGAATTTTAAAGACGTACTTGTGGATAGGCACTTTTTGCTGTGAGGTCCTTGGTGGTCTATGAGCTTGGTGGTTTTCTTGCAGACGCTTCATTACCCAACTAGGTAACATCATCAGTGCAACACATTTTGCAAAATGATATCTATCAGGTCATAAAGATTCGGGAATGACTGAGTAACTGAACCAGAAATGCAATACTGAATTGTGTATTTTGTATATTTTGTTTCTTGAAATAATGTAAAGGGAACAAATATATCCTCACATCGTTGTTGTTATTCCGTTGCTAAGTCATATCCGACTCTTTGTGACCCCATGGACCACAGCACAACAGGCACTTCCTGTCCTCCACGGTCAACTGGAGGTTGCCCAAATTCATGTTCAATGCATCAATCACACTATCTAACCATCACCTCCTCTGCCATGCCCTTCTCCTTTTGCCTCCAATCTTTCCCAACATCAGAATCTTTTCCAATCAGTATATCCCCACATAGCCCTCCACTGTGTTGCAGGTGCATCAGGAGAAGAAGCCCATAAGTATTGTTGTTAGTTGCAAAGTTGTGTTTGACCCATCACGACCCCATGGACAATGTTCCTCCAGGCCTTCCTGTCCTCTACCGTCTTCTGGAGTCCATTTAAGCTCACTCCTACTGCTTCAGTGACTCCATCCAGCCACCTCATTCTCTGTCGTCCCCTTCTTCTCTTGCCCTCCATCTTTCCCAGCATTAGGCTCTTCTCCACTGTGTCCCTTCTTCTCATTAGGTGGCCAAAGTATTTGAGTTTCAACTTCAGGATCTGGCCTTCTAAAGAGCAGTCAGGGTTGATCTCCTCTAGGACTGACCGGTTTGATCGCCTTGCAGTCCAGGGGACTCGCAGGAGTCTTCTTCAGCACCATAGTTCAAAGGCCTCCATTCTTTGGCGCTCAGCCTTTCTTATGGTCCAACTTTCACCCCATAAGTATATGTATGGATTATTATTTTATTATTTGATTTAGACCTGCCACAATCAAACCAAGAAGAGAAGCAACCTGGGAACTAAGGAGAAATTTCCTATCAGTGAGACCAATTAACCAATGGAATAGCTTGCCTCCAGAAGTTGTGGGTACTCTATCTCTAAAGGCCTTCAAAAAGAGATTTGTCTGAAATGATACAGGCTCTCCTGCTCAAATAGGGGGATTGGACTAGAAGACCCCCCTAAGATCCCTTCCAACTCTATTATTCTATTAGAATAATAATAGGTAGATCTTCAAAAGATCTACCTATTTTAGGGACTGGGTGGAAGAGAATGAGAGATGCTGGGCTTACTTAGAAATAGACTGCTGAGAATTTTTTTTTCCCCAGCTGAGAAGGAATTTGCTTTAAAATATTAACATATTACAGATGATTAAAGGGAGAAATGCCAGGAGGATTTAAACATGTGCCATATGGCTTGCGGTTCTCTTTTTTCTGCTGAAGTCAAACGGGCATCGCTGTTTGATAGAAAACAATGAAAGCCCTGAATGGGAATCAACCTTTTCCATTTCTTCAGATCACTCCGTTGTTTTCAACTGATGAAATAAATTCCAATGCATCTACAGATAATTGTCTGTGGCCTGGGCTGTGGGTAGAAAAAAAAAACAATCCTTCTCTTTGCACAAAAATTACCACTGACCTGAATACATATTTGTAGTCTGTGTATTTTGGATTTGCTAGCATCTGAGTCTCGCTGGCCTTATTAAACATGTTACAGATGCAGTAAAAACCTCACTACTGATGCGCATGTCTTTGTTTTAAGATGTGGGCAATCAATCACTATCCCAGCAATGTCAAATATTTTTTGGTATTTTTCTCCTTCTCAAAACAGTTGTCTCGGCCTTGCTCTGAAGCAGCCGTTAACCTTTCAGAATAACAGAATGACAGAGTTGGAAGGGACCTTGGAGGTCATCTAGTCCAATCCCCTGCTCAGGCAGGAAACCCTATACCATTTCAGACAAATGGCTGTCCAATTTCTTCTTGAAAACTTCCAGTGATGAAGCACCCACAACTTTCGGAGGCAAGTCGTTCCACTGATTAATTGTTCTTGCTCTTAGGAAATTTCTCCTTAGTTCTAGGTTGCTTCTCTCCTTGGTTATCTTGGTTATAATTACAGTCTAAATTTGGGTATATGTGTGGAGGAAGGTTAAGTAAAGCCCTGTCTATCTCTTTGGCAATGAATGGATTATGACAAAAATCATTTGGGTTATCAAGCCCACGGATGTGTCAAAATCACTTTTAAGGAAGATCCACAGAAGATTGACAAGTCTATTTTGGACACGCAGTTAGGTCCAGGAAATTGACATCTTGAAGAGAAGTGGAAAAGATTAAGAGCTATAAAAAGGCATAATCAGCCAGTAGCCAACACTCAACTCCATTGACGGTGTGATTCAGGGCAACAGCTACTATTCACACCTCACACGGGGTCTGCCGCGATTCTCCTTATAAATGGGGCATAGCATCCTTTCCTCAGTGTGACTGTGGAGCCTCATAACAAATTATAGATCACATCGTGACCGGCTATAAGTGGTAGCATATACTGGTCCAGTATCTGATCTTTTTTTAATATAAATGATGCTGTGCTTCAATAGTTAGATGGCCTGGACCAGGGGTGGGGAACAATGGTCTTTTTATGACTTGTGGACTTCAACTCCCAGAATTCCTGAGCCAGCCATGCTAGTTCAGGAATTCTGGGGGTTGAAGTCCACAAGTCATAAAAGGGCCATCGTTTCCCACCCTTGGCCTAGATCAGGGGTAGGCAACCTTGGCTCTTTTATGACTCGTGGACTTCAATTCCCAGAATTCCTGAGCCAGCATGGCTCAGCATAGAAACCTCTCCCTTTCTCCTCAGCATGAGTGGCTGAGGAATTCTGGGAGTTGAAGTCCATGAGTCATAAAAGAGCCAAGGTTGCCTACTCCTGGCCTAGATATTGGTATTTGAACATAGATCTTTTAAAATATATAAATATGTAACGTATAATATATAAATAAATATATAAACATAATAAAACATATTATGTTTTACTAGCCTAGGTAAAATGTTAATATATATTGCTAGTTCATGTAGGATATTGCCATACGCTAAATAAATAAGGGCAACAGCTTCAGATTTTCCATTTCTGAATCCTAGACCTCCCCCTATATTTTGCCATGAAGGTTAAATGTCTGAATTCTAACCCAGTTTGCTTCGGTGTGTTTTTTGAACTGAACTTCGGTCCTCCGCTTGTAGTCAGGAATTGGGCAGCCATGGGATCAAAAAGCTATGAGTCACTCTTTGATCTTAAATCCTGATAAAATCAAAGTATAGGCCCAGTCCTACCACAGAAACTGCTGTTTTAAAAGAAGCAAACCCCTGCTTAACCACATGACTGGTGTTAGCTTGATTTGCTTAGATTCTGAAAAGTTCTTTAATTATGCCAACTTCTAATTTACAAACGCTAGGAGTCATTTCTTTAAAATTAATTCTGCATGAGAAGGCTGCCAATCTTTCTTTCTTTTAAATACTATTTTATTAATTTTCCAATTTTACATTTAAGTATTTAAAAAGCAACGTGGTGGCTGGGTTAATCAATAGTTCAATAACATAAAATCTTTAGTACAAATCTCAAGTTACAACATCAAATATTTCCTCTCTTTTCCCCTTAATATCTACTGTCTCATATTTAAGCTAATACAGTTCTTATTATATCAGTAAAAACATCATTATTACATTTATCAATAAATGTTTAGCTTATACATATCTTAATTACTTTTACATTCAATCTTCATAAACAATCCATGTCCTGTTATTAATTTTTTCCCAAATTTTAGTTTCCCATCAATATTTCAATTTAACATTTGATATTTATAATTTTCAGGCTTTAGGTAACCAAAATTTCCCATATCTCAATTCATAACAGAATCTAATATTCAAAATACACATTTTATCTATTTGAA